TACTTGTTGACTGAGCTGCTAGAGTCTCAACTTTACTCACTGTCTCAACACTGAGATCTAATTCTGCTATTGCATTCTCTTTCTGATTGCCTAGTAAAGTAGACTCATTAAATGTCACATCTTTACTGATAATAAATCATGAAGGCTTTGAATCACTGAACTACAACTTGTAATATTTCACTCCATATGCATACCTTAGAAATATGCATTTCTTCGCCCGCTCAAGTTTATCATCTCTTACATAAGTATAAACAAGACAAGCAAATACTCTCAATTAAGAGTAATCAACAGGTGAATCAGATTATATCTCAAAAGGAGTTTTGCACTCAATATATGTCGGTGTAGATCTATTAATTAAGAAAAAAGTGGTATTCACAGCTTCTACCAAAAATTTTTGTCCCAAGCTTGAATGAGACAACATATTTCGTACTTTATCACAAAACGTTCTATTCATGCATTTTGCAGTACCATTTTGTTGTGGTATTCTAACACAAGTGAGGTGTCTCATTATTCCTTATGTACTGCAGAAGTCATCGAATACATGATTGCAAAATTACAACCTATTGTCAGTCCTCAGACATTTAATCTTTCTCTCTGTCCGTTTCTCAATCATGGTCTTCCATATGACAAAAGTTAAAAATGCATCTTCCTTAAACTTCAGAAAGTATACCAAACCATCAAAAGATAATCATTAATCAGAGTTATAAAATACTTGGTACTATTTTTTAAGGGATTTTTGTATGGACCCCATAAATTAAAATGGATATAATCCAACTTATCATTGGTTTTGTGTGTTGCCTGTTTGTTGAACTTTTGTTTGTTTCCGAAACACATAATGTTCACAGAAATCTATAGCTTCTTTTTTATAACTGTTGAACGAAATTATGTTTACCCAACACAAAAAGTCCCTTGTCACTCATATGATCTAGGCACATATGCCATAACTTAGTCTAATTTTGATTACTATTGATAATGCTATAGTAGTTTCCTGTGAAACTGTATTGCCTTATAGAGTACATAATTTAAATTTCAAACTGCCTTTCATGAATACCATTGAGCCCTTGCACACTTTAAGAATACCATTCTCTACATCAAATCTATACCCTTGAGAATCCAGGGTAGAAAGAGAAATCAAGTTCCTCTTTATCTAATGAACATGCCAACATTCGATGGTTCTGATAGCTCCATCAAACATTCTTAATCTGATGTCACCAATTCTATTTATAATCAATGGACTATGATTCTCTATGTACATAGTGCCATTCATCTATTTGTATGTAGTAAACCAATGCTTGTGGACACATATGGAATGGAGCACCAGTATCAAAAATCTAAAAATTCTTTCCATGATAAGAACTCACAGATAAGACTTCTCAAACACTACTGCTATCACTATCATTAAAATTATTTTCATAAACTAAATTAGTAGAGTTCTCTTGCTTCTTTCCTTTTTTTTCTTTCAACTTGGGACAATCTCTCTTAAAGTGACTCTACTTCCCGAATTCATAATAGTTTGCCTTC